CAATTATTCAACGATCAGTTGGGTATATTACCTGTAATCTTGGTTCCTAATTCTGTAGCATAGGACCTTTTCCTCCGATGCGACTCTGGCGGCCAGGTTGGTGGACCCTTCTTGCCCCAGGGTTTTTATCCAGTTCTTCGGTCTTCGGTTTCTGACTTTTCCGCAGTATCGTCAAAGATCTTCACTACCTCCTTACTCAGGTCTTGCCAAACGAGTTTTAATTATTTCAGTTCCTTGGATTTGGATCGTCTAAGAGCTTCTATTTCGAGATAGTAGTACCAAGATTACAGGTAATATACCCAACTGATCGTTGAATAATTGTTACCAGAATACAAGTCTATTTTTCTAAAAATGTCTCTGGTGAGATTTGAATTCTAGACCTGCTACTTGGGGGTGACAACTTAACCACTACTCTAAGTCACTACATCTCTAGATTTCATTTTAATTTGTGATATTAAATAATAGACATATACATTATTTCTAATAAATATTTAAATGATAAAATAGAAAGTCTAAAGTCTTCTTTTTTTTTTAGACATGCTCACATAATAATAATGTATAGTTATTGGATGCGAAGCAGCCAATAACGGAAATTATTTAGAAAATAATTTCATTATCTGGCTGTGAAATTTAATATGTCAGCTACTGGGCCCCAAAGGCGCCCAGAAATGACGTATATTAAATTCGCTACCAGATAAACAAGTTATTGGCTGAGTAGCATTCAATAACAGTATTATCCGGTATCTTACAATGACCAAATCAACAAAATAGCTCGAGTTCTTTTGATGATAATTGCCTCATCTTCAAATAACAGAGTTATTTGATAATAATGCGATCATAAAATAACTCGAGTTATTCTGTTAGTACGATCATAGTAAGGTGCCGGATAATAATATTATTATTATATATTATTATTAGGATTTTAAAAAATGGTGCATCTGCACTACAGTGCACCCCTTATTATATAATCAACGTGATCGACATACAACTGTAATACGTAGGTACATATTAAATTTTTAATTTATTAAGATATAACAAAATGCACAAAATATGTACTAATTAATCATTAAAAAGTTTTTAATTTATACAAATTATCATGCGTAACAAACATTTTAAGCATCGATGCTCTTATGCACCTAAAGCTACCCTAACCCTAACTAACCATTATACAAATACAACGAATTTATACATTCGTCACGAAACTATAACAGCGAATCCACTCAGAACAAGCTCAACATTAACCATCTAGCTCAAGCCATCTAACCCTAATTCTAACCCTGCTTAAAAAAAAATCAAGCACTAAATTTAACCCAACAACTTAAAGAATGATGAAACCCTATATAATGACAGCACCAAAGCAAGCAATGCAAAATCGAAATGAAAACGCAGTAAAACAAAATACACCTAAAACAAATCAAACAACGAAATGCAACCTAAAAACAATGCAAAAAACAGTGCAACCCACCTATAACGACAACACCAAAGCAGGCAGTGCGAAATTGACACCAACGACATAGTAAAAACCTGTAAAGAAAATTGGTCTTAGTTTGGCAGCAACAAAAAAAAGACACCTGAAACATCTGAAATAATCAAATGACGAAATGCAACTGAAAGACAACCCAAAGAATAGTGAAACCCATCTACAACCATGGCACCAAACCAAGCAGCAAGAAATCGACACTAACAACGTAATAAAATGCCTATAAAGAAAAGTGGGTGTTAGTTATGCAACAACAAAGAAAAAGACATCTAAGTCATCTAAAACAAATCAAATGGCAAAATGCAACCCAAAGAACAGCGAAGCCTACCTATAACGATAATACCAAAGCAAAGGACGCAAAATTGGCACTAACGACGTAGTAAAACCCTGTAAATAGAAATGGGTATTAGTTATGCAGCAGCAAAGAAAAAGACACCTAAAACACCTAAAACAAATCAAACGATGCAACCCAAAGACAATCCAATGAATAGCGAAGCCCACCTATAACAGCAGCATTAAAATAGACAGCGCGAAATCGATACCAATGACGTAATAAAACACCTGTAAAGAAAAGTGGGTGTTAGTTATGCAGCAGCAAAGAAAAAGATACTTAAAACACCTGAAACAAATCAAAACGATGAAATGCAACCCAAAGAACGGCGAAACCCACCTATAATGACAACACCAAAGCAAAAGGCGCAAAATCGGCACCAACAACGTAATAAAACACCTGTAAATAGAAATGGTTATTAGTTATGCAGCAGCAAAGAAAAAAACACCTAAGACACCAAATAATGAAATGCAACCCAAAGACAATCAAACGAATGGTAAAACCCACCTATAATGGCAACACTAAAACAGAAAGCGTGAAATCGACACCAACAACACAATAAAGCTTCTGTAAAGAAAAGTAAATAAGTTAATTACGCAAATCAAACAACTATATTGGCGATACGACACAAAACTGCACCTTCAACAATGTCGACCTAACTAAGCCGTTATCCGTTAATAAAAGAAAGAAAACAGAAAAAAAAAATCAACTGATTTAATCAGTTGATGATCACTATTTATACCCTGTGATAAATTATAATTCTCTTATTATTAATATTATTATTATTATTTTTTTTTAATAATAATATATTTTTTTTTTAATTTATCTCCAGTTGAAAAATATTTTGTGATCGACTAAAGAATTTTTATCTGTAAAAAAAAATATATAAGATATCAC